AAAAAAACTTCAATTACTCACGTTATGGTGCAGTGATGGCACAGCAAAAGAAATATTATCAGTACGATTTATCCAGTTTGCAGAATCATTGCCATTAACATTGCAATATCTTGATTTAAGCAGTTATTATCTAGATCCGTATATTGATATTTTGCTGAATTATTGCAATTCACCTTTAAAAAAATTAATAATTGGTCGGTTTGTTAACGAGGAAAGAACTAAAGCGCTAATTGAATTCTGCAAACGAAAAAGAACTTTGAAATATTTGGGTATAAGTGATTTAGTACATAAGGATTTGGATGATAATATTAAAAAAGAATTGGATGGATATGTTGAAGTGGTACCATATACACGTATTATTGTTAGATGCTAATTTCTTTAAATCCCTTTTATTTTAAGAACCATTATATTTTAATAATATACAGTATAAATAAAATAATACGTTAATAAATTTAGTAATATGATGGCTAAAATACTTCAATGTTATAGTTATTAGATCTAAATAAGTTCTCTAAAAAATTAACGGCTAATGAATGAATATTTTAAATATTTTTAATAATAAAATGCTTATTCCAAACACTAGTGAAATATTATGCTACGTATTTCGATTGAAAAAATGCTAATAAATATTTCTTTCTATTATTATAATTCCTATGGCTTATTTGCAGTATGAATGTAGCGAATTAATTATTATCGTAACTAGTCTAAAGTTACCTAGATTGCTTTCTATAAAATATTATAAAGATATGTTTGAAGCCTTTGTATTTATTTCTTACGATTATATTCTGTAGATTGGAGATTAAGGACTTGTCATAAACAGCATTTTGACCCTGTCCTGTGTATGAATCCTGTGGATATGATGAGTTGTAAAGAATTGACACGTAGATCATAAATGTAATTAATATTTTATATAATTAGATTATTTGCCGATCAAACGATAAAAAGCGACCAAAATCATACCCTAAAATGCATTAAACCCGATCTGAATCACAAATGCTGTCCCTAAACATAATAATCATTGCAATTTGCAATCCTTATGACTTTTTACTCGTTAAATCAAGTGTCTTTTTAACATTGAATTTATTAAATAGATAAATAACATTAAAAAAGTGTGCAAATTTGAAACAGTACTTAAATTCTTAAACAAACAATCTGGAAAAATATATAGGTATTTTAATTTTAATGTATATAAGCCAACAGAACATACAATAATAACAATAATCATTATGTCTTTCCTAAATACACAATTTGCTTTATTATTATTATTATTGTCGCTAAACAAAGTTCCCTTAAAAAAATCTACGACAATACAGCTCTTTAAGTATAAATCGTCTATAAGTTCATATACATACCCATGCTTAGGTTCATTAAAAGATGTATCGAGCCAGATTTTTGTAAAATTTGTAATATACTTGATGCATCAATCAGGCAGTCAGTAATTTTCTAAAGTGTTGTGTCTTACTTTTAAAGTTGAAATGATGTCGTCAATAGGAATATCAAGTCCAACTAAATCAAGTTGCTTAAGTTGCTTTTGTGATTTAATAATACATATAAGAACATTAAATAGTTGTGGCTCATAATTAGAATAAAATTCATAAGAAATAATTTTTGTAATGTTTTTTGCCAAGATTTCTAATAATTTGGTAGCACTTTCAATGCCGAAATCAAATCCACTCAAAGATAAATGTCAGAGTTGAAAAAAATTGTTCATTTCGTCCTAATGAGATAAAAACCTCTGGTTTAATTTCATAGAATTCATAAAATTGTAAATTTAATTTATGCAAAGTCACTTTCAACAAATAATTTAAATACGTAGTACAATAAATATTTGACATATTTCTGAGTCACCATAATCACTTCACCGACAGCTTAGTTCACAGACAATTAATTCGCAGACAGGTTCATTTCACCGACAATTAGCTTACCGACAAGTTCATTTCACAGACAATTATTTCATTTCACCGACAAAGTAATTCTGGTCATTGTTGTTAGTGTCGGGTTAGAATTAAAGTTAAGGTTAGTGTAATTTATAAAAAATACTTGTCGGTGAAATGAGCTGTCAGTGAAATAATTGTCGGTGAAATGAACTTGTGGGCAGGGACGGTGAATACTTCCGTAATAAAATTCCATTTTATTTTGGCATGATCAATAAATTTTAAGTATCTAATCAAAATTCAATTTTTGGAATAATTTCAGATTTGATTGGCTATAATAATTTCATTTTATTCTATTTTATTCTTAATGGAAGTATTCACCGTCTCTGCTTGTGGGTAAGTTAATTGTTGGTGAAGTTGAACTTGTCTGTGAATTAATTGTCGGTAAACTAAGCTGTCGATGAAATAACACGTATCCTAAATAATATTACATCTAAAATAACTGCACCCATCCATACCAATACAGAATAGCAATTCCAATGTATAAATCTGAGAAATTATGATTTGCTTGACTAGTTTGGGAATTTGTTGTTGTAGGTATGTTAAACAATTATAATGTGATCCAGTAATCCAAATTGGATAAATTTGATACCATTCGACTCGTCTCGATGAGACGAATCAAATGGTACAAAAATCATCCAATTCGAATCACTGGATCACAAGGTATTCGCAAATAATGATTCAATGAATTACGGCAAACGTACAGTAATACTGCCGTAATTCATTAGGTAGTTTTTCGAGAATATATTGCGATCCAGTGATTCGAATTGAATGATTTGGTACCATTCGATCCGTCACATCGAGACGAATCGAATGATATCAAATTCATCAAATTTGGATTATTGGATCGCGATATAATTGAGTTTTTGTAAAAAAAAAAAATACGACCAATTACGGCATTGTACTTACACCACTACCCAGGTATAATTTTGTATGTCAAGAATATAAATATTACTTGTGCATAAAGTTAATGCTGAAATTGCGCCTGAATATGTAAATTAAACAAATTTAATAATTTTTTTTAATTAAATAAATAAACATAAAATTAATTACGAATGCATGTATTATATAGCTTTTATATAATGCAGCAGAGTTGTTCCAAACTTTATTGCTACAATAGATTTGGGATGCCCAAAAAGTTTGAAAAGCATCGCTAATTCCCATAGGTGTAATCAATAACAGGCACTTTTGCTGTTACAAGAGTCAAATTCTCATTAAGAAAGAAAAAAAAAAACCGAACAAAGGATTTAATGGAACATTGGTATCACTTTACGTAGAAGTATGGTACTTATTGACCCTAGCTACCGCACCAAAATTGTCACGGCAGATTATCGATTTGATTATATTTCTAGGATGGTTTCTCAACGACTATCTGATTAAAATTATTACGCAAAACGATGTGACCTCTGCAGATCATGAAAATCGGAGATTCTGTGGATTTAAGAATCTTACCAAATAAATATAAATAAGGCTGATCGAAAATATGAATTATAGCGGTTTGCAAAAAGGTGTGACCACTGCAGATAATGTCAGCCGATTCTGGTAGATTTTTCGATTCTTAAAGAATTTTAAAGATTCCGAATAATATATAAACGTTATTGATCGAAAATTATGATCATCACGAAATCACAGGGTCATACTTTTTACAAATCGCCATAATAGACAATTTAGAATCTCATCGTCACAAAAATCATGGGGTCACATCTTTTTGCAAAGCACTATAATAAATTTTTTTTTTATTTTGATTTTACAACTTGTAGAATTGAAAAAATTTCATTGAGTTTGACCTGGTAGTTATCGAGAAAACTTCAATTAAGTTTTAAAAAATATGAAAATCTTGAAGAAATGTCTGAGATCATGGTTTTTAATTTTTAAATGAAAATTTCCCTGAACAAATTAGATAATTCTACAATTCTGTAGAATTAAACCAAAAAAATTTTCATCGTATTTGATTGAGTAGTTTTCGAGAAAAATTAAAGTTAAAAAAAAGATATTCCTTTTTCTTTTAAGAGGTTTAAACCTTTGAACAAAGTTTTCTCAGCGATTACCTGAACAAATTCGATGAAAATTGATTAGATTTTTAAAAAATTTAGAACGTAGGCGTATAACTTTTTTTGTTAAATTTAAATAAATATTTCTTAATAATTAATCAAATTTGGTAAAAAATTCTTTTATTTAATTCTACAGTTCTGTAGAATTAAAATAAACAAAAAAATTTGGTTTCGTAGTTATTGAGAAATTTTGTTTAAAATTTAACAATTTTTTTTTATAAAGTACAGTATATAAAATTTTTTAAGGTTTAGATGAAAATTTCACAATAACCACTAAATGAAAATTTTTTTTACCAATTTGATTAAAGTTTAACAAAAAAAGTTATAACTCCTACGTTCTAAATATTTTAAAATCTAATCAAATTTTCATCGAATTTGTTCAGGTAATTACTAAGAAATATTCGTTCAAAGTTTTAAACCCCTTTAAATCCTTTAAAAGAAAAAGCAGTATTTTTTTTTTAATTTTAAGTGAATGTTTCTCGATGAATATTCGATCAAACCGATGAATTTTTTTTAATTCTGTAGGCTTGTAGAATTAAAATAAAAAATTTTCATCGAATTTGTCCAGTAATTATCGAGAAATTTTCATTTAAAAAACCATGATCGCAGCCATTTTTGATTTTCATTTTTTTTTTAAACTTTAATTGAAATTTTCTCGATAACTACCAGATCAATCAATGAACTTTTTTTTTCAATTCTACAAATTTGTAGAATTAAAATAAAAAATTTTATTGATTTAATCCAATAGTCGTTGGGAAACCATCGCTAGAAGATATAAAAAAATATCAAGAATCGTAATATTAATATACAGTAGTACAGCCATCAAATATTTTTCTAAGGGTTTAATTTTCTTTAGTTAGTGTATCATAATAATAATTTTTTATGAATAATTTTTTATTAATAACTTTTACAATTATTGCAAAACTCATGTAATTGGTTCTATAATATAAATATTACAGTATGATCTTTTTTTTAAAAAAAATTCATGTAATAATTGTTTAAATAATATAAATATTTAATCTTGAAAACGTTCTCTCCACTTTTTTCCTTTAAAATATACAATCACCATGCAAGAAGTGCCCAATATAATATACACTGTCAAAAGAGTATACAATAAACCGGTGCCTAAAGCATTTTCAAGCGGCGTCGAAGCGAAAGACATTATTGAGGCTGCTATAGATCTGAAACAATTGTTTACTGCTATAGATGAAGCGCTTCGGCCAGGAAAAGCGTCGATTAAGTATGTTGATGAACCATTAAATACTGACAATGCACCAAATCCGACTATAATTAGACAAAAAACAAAAAACTTCTTTAGAATTAGATATACAAAAATAATAATAATAATAATAATAGTGACATACGTACAAAAAAACATAGATATTATAGGTAAAGAAATATGAGTATCCTTCGCAATAAACCATCCATAAGCTAAAAGTGAAACTGGGATTAACACTGATCCAAGCCAAACACTATTTAATCTCATTTCCGGATAAATACTACCGTATTTCTTTCTACTTTTAGTCAATATGAAATCAGAGTAACTTCCAGATATTACACTTCCCAGAACGTATCCAATACCAGGAGAAAGAAGCACAAGCCCAACATTTGATGGAGACAGATTATACTTTGCTGAAAAAGTTGTTGGAACAAGTGCATTTTGAACATATATCACTGAATAAATTATACTTATGTAAAGTATTGCTAAAGATAGATTTGGATAACGAAGTAAAGTAAGCGGTAAGAATGGATTAAACCGCTCTTTAGGAGGTGATGTTGTGGTAAGTGACAACTGGGTGTGACGAAAAGTTTCGGGAAGTGCAAAGTATATGAGGACTAAAATGATTCCTCCATATATTGATAGAAACCAAAAGATATATTTCCATCCAAGGTATTGAGTTATATAGCCGCCTATGGTTGGACCAATAACAGGGCCTATTAAAGGTCCCAAGTAGAACCATCCAAAAGCACGTCCACGTTCTGAACATGACATACAAATGATTATACACTGTTATATACTAATAAATAATGATGACACATACTAATTGAGATAATTTACTTGTAGGAATGAATATATCACTTATAGTTCCTGCACCAATACTTAGGACTGCAGATCCACCAAAAGCCTGAAACGAACGCATAACTAATAATTGCCAAATATTATTCGATATAGCACATACTATGCTTGCAACGACAAATATTATAAGGGATATTAAATAGACCCTTCGTCTTGTTTCGCGGGTATCAGAATACGAGGCCCATCCAAGTGGCTACAAATACAAATATACATTGGAAATGTTTACGTGATACAAGCATTAAGAATGTTTTTAACGTATTCAAAAAAAAAAAAGCATACTGCAATGCCGATTACTAAAATAAAAGTCGAGACTGGATAATTAATGTAGACAATCAGATTTTTAAAAAATAATAATATCATTAAATCACATGAAAAAATTGATTTACTTACTTATAGCATTGGTAAGAACTTGAGAAGTTTTCAAATCAACGCCAATTTGAATAAGTGCGGGAAAAACAATTCTAGACAGAACAATCAAATTTAATTTCAAGTCTACTGATTCAAAGAACTTCATGATGATGATGCTCACGTGCAAGAAATATGGGCGCTTGTTCCTGCCACTGAGATAATGAATACTATGAACTGTTTTTTCTTTATCGGCCAATTCATTGGATCATTTAATGAAGTACTTTCAGTTTCATGTATTTGAACTGATTCCTCAATTTTTTCATTCTCCAACGAAAGTTCATTTTTGCCATTATGTGATTGATTATTTTCTATGGTCATTAGGATTTTCTGAAAACTTGGGTTAATACTGGATCTAAACGGCTCTATAAATACCATTTCGTCAAAATAAAATTGAATACTTTTCGAATATATAAAGTTATATAAAGATTTATGAATGTTCAAATATATCCATGAATATTTACAAAAAATTCATAATAATTACGAATAATAATAGGACTTTTATTAATAATTACGAATTTTTAACGATTAATTAAAGAATGGATTATTAAACTAATAATAATTTTTAACGATTTAATAATTAAGATCTATCTAAAGTATAGAAGGTATCGATAATTATATAGTTAGCGATTAACCACAAAATATGAATAATTTTATGTCATTAATAATAGTTTTTAGTCATTCAAATATATTGAGAGAAAATAAAGATGCTTGAGTAAATAAAAATCATATTTAGCAGCATAAACGCGTAAATTTATTCTTAATCTGCATGTTTTATGATTAATCGCTGACTACATCATTCTATTGATTCTTTCTATACTTTTAATTATTAAATCGTTAAAAAATTATTTAGTTTTTAACCTAAAAATTAAAAGATAAAGATTCCCATCGCTAATTACGAATATTCATAATAATTACGAATAACTATTCGTAACCGGCGGTGGTAACCCTTGAAATTTAAACACCCTTAAATTTTCCTTAATGTTCCTGCACGATCATCACGTTATTCTATTTTTTAAATCGGACCCGATCCGTCCCGTTCTGAGTTTACCGGAGCGGCCCCTCCGAAGTTCGGGTTGATGTCACCGCCGTGGCATGTATTTGTTAAAATGAACAAGTATAAAGGGTAATTTCTTGATCAAGTTGTTTGAAAATATATATATTCTATGAATAAGTGGTTTTGATTACTTACCATATCTAACAACGTTGAAAATAATTAGGTCAATCCGTACCGTTATGAGTATTCGTAGATTTTTTGATAATTTATTGACTCGAGTAGATACTCTGCCCTTAACGCAAGTTTTGTTGCATAATATTATATAACGATTTACTACAATTCTCGTTCAAAGTTTTCAGACCTCTATTTTTATCTTAAATATTAAAATTGATTGAACATCGATATTTGAATTTAAGAAACTTTCCCCAAATACTCATAACGGTACGGGTTGACCCAATTACTATTGCTGCGGCAGTGATGTCAATCATCAACCTAGTAAACTCGTCCCACTCTAATTTCTTTATTTTTATTTCTGTTTTAAGTATTACATATGAGTGTCGCTAAAAGAAAACCCGAAAATTTAAATATAAATCATATTTAAATTTTCGGGTTTTCTTTTAACGACACTCATATCTAGTCCTTATTTTATATCCCTAATACGTATCTTACCATATATATTTTCATACTATAATAGGGCCATGGATGCGTACGCATTGTAGGTATTCAAAGACCGTGATTCTGGCCGGTCCTTTGGACCAGTTCAAGCAGTTCTCGGTTCGTAAATTGGCCAAAAAAAAGTTGCTGATGACAGAATCAATAAGTTTCTGATGTCCGCCTAATTCAATAACTTATTGATTTTTGATTCGGTAACTTGTCGATTCGGTCATTGACAATTTTTTTCAGTTGTCCCAAAATTTTATGATAACAACTATGTCAAAATCTGAAATAAGTGTCACCGAAATACAATATTAGGTAATTTTTGATATATTAAGATAAATAAAGACAACAATTTAAGTGTTAAAATAGTTAAAATTTTGCAAACATAACCATATCGACCGATTTGGCTTGACCCCAAATTTAGTTGTTAATTTATTGCAAAGTAAATTTTTACAAAAATGGTCTTTTAAACTTACTTTGAATCCATAATTAGGTGTATAGACTATTGCAATTAGTGCTCCGAAAGGGTCATTAGGGTCGGGTTTAGGGTTGAACCCGAACCAACCCGCGTAGATCAGGTCATAAAATTAATTCATGAAATTAAATAAAACAAGAATCTTATAATTTAGATAAACCATCCATTAATTATTATTAAAATTCTTTCTGAAAACTAAGCAATATTACAACAATTTTATAATTTAATCTAAGTGTATTTATTATAATTTCTGCAAATTAAGCAAAATTATACTATTTTTTATATAAGTTCTTATAAGTTCTTATTCCCACCAGGCTCTTAAATACATGCATGCACGAATAGTATTTGGTTCAAGTCTACACCGTTTTGAAACAACTATTAACGAAAAGGTTTGTTTGAACCGGTTTGAAACAATTATTAACGAAAAGGTTTATTTGATTTTGGATAAATGATAATGAAAAGAGAATTGAAATCGAAAAAAAAAACAATTATTTAAATATTTATTGATTTAAGCTGACGTCATTTTGAAAAATATCATTTTAAATATTTATTGATTTAAGCTGATATCATTTGATTCGAATCAAAAAAAAACCATTTAAATATTTTGTTAATTCAACTTTATGCGGGTTGATGCGGATAATTTCAGATTCAGGTTTATGTCCAGGTCATCCGAACTAAATTGACCCTTTCGGAGCACTAATTGACACTTATCCCATGATAAACAAAAACAGATTTATTTTTATGTTTGGAAGAACTATTTGTTTGAAGCTTTAGTACAAATCCATTAGTAAGAACTAAATAAATTATGAACATTCTTTATGTAGTATTTTGCTTAATTTACAGAAATTATAATAAATACACCTAGATTGAATTATAAAATTGTTGTAATACTGTATTGCTTAGTTTTCAGAAGAATTTTAATAATAATTAATGGATGTTTTATCTAAATTATAAAATTCTTGTTTTATTTAATTTTATGAATTAATTTCATGACCTGATCTATGCTGGTTGGGTTCGGGTTCAACCCTAAGCCCGACCCTAATGTCCCTTTCGGAGCACTAGTATCAATATTACAGGAATCTAAAGTACATGTTTTATTTGTCATCTTGGGCAATTTTTTCAATCTTAGTCCAATGCGCAAAATAGAAACTCCGACAAATAATTATGATAAAACCATTTTATGTTAAATACATTGTATTAAACAATAACAGACTTTACAAGTTATATGGAAAATATAAGATATTGATGCTATAGTCTCACTTTTACTAAAACGCACCTATGGTGTTTTACCAACTATGCTGTATTATCTTAAAACTGGCTAATTAATTAATACGCGATGCTCTAAGTAAAAATGCTCTACGTTCTCAAAACCCTTCCTAAACCTTAATTCTGATACTAAATACTAACCCTAACATGAAAATTTGTGCTAAAAAATTTTATTTACAAATCTTATAAAACTTAGAAAATATATAAAAGCACAAAGCCACCATAGGTTCATTTTATAACAAATGCTATCATCTTAACCACTACTTAAAATAATTTGTAGATTTGATGCGATCATTAATAAAGTTTAGAATTCTGCAATTCCACAAGCATGTAAAATGACGTAATTTCTACAGTTTACTAATTTGCAATACTGGTAACTTATGTAAAAAAGCCACCGCAGTATGGCTTTAAGTAAATCAAGCCATAGCATATATTTGTATTATCCATCAAAATCTCCCAAATAACCGTATCTAATGTGTATTTGAAAAACAGGTAAGAACGTCCCAAATATGGAAATGGTTACACGAATGTTGAGTGATTGTCACATACTAACTAGCCAATCAAAATAATCAATTTAAAAAAGAATTTTTAAGCAAAAAATCAAAATGAAATTAAAGAAATTTAATTAAAATTTATATTTAAAAATCTAACCTGAATATATTACAGGTAGACAACATGTTTTTATTGACTTGGATTACTTTAAACTATATTACACTCTACTCTCATTATAACAGACCCTTTAGGCTAAAATATTTTGTCTATTATATCTATTATAAATGAATATTTGTTATAATGTTATATAATAAAATAATAATATTTTTAAATTGTTTTAGAAAATTACTCCATTATAATAAGGTATTCACTATATCAAAGTTTATTATAACAAGTGTAGAGTATATATATATAAGCTAATTTTTATTATTATAAAAATTTTATAATATTTGTACAGTTAAATCTCTCTAAATGCATATTCTCTAAATGCATAGTCTTTTTAAATGCATGGCCTTGTTTGGCCCAACTCATATGACACATATAGATTTTTACTTCTCTAAATACAATACCTCTTTAAATACAATTTTTTTAGCTACCTGAGACTATACATTTAGAGAGATCTAACTGTATTTGATTTTATATTTACTATACTTGAATTTTTTATAGTATTGTATATATTTATTGTTCTGTTATGAAGATCTCTAAATATATATATATATTTTGATGTTGAGATAAAGCCTTGCTTATATCTTTATTGATTAATTTAAATAAGTAGTTATATAGAAACTATATAAAAACTTAATTTGTACAAAACAAATAAATATAAATTATATTTAAGAATAAGAGCTCAGACTAAAAACAGAAACTAAAAGCTTAAACTAATTATCTGCAACCTAAATGAATAGTGAGTTACACCTTGGTTAGCTTAGAAATAGACAGCAGTTGTGACCAGAGGGTTTAAATAGGTATCCCCATAGTTGGGATGCAGGTATGGCAGCTAGTGTGAAACCTAGGGCAGACTACTTAAATAGACAACCAAAAGTTGCATGTATAGCTAGTCGTACTCTCATTAGTAATAATCAGAAAGCTTAAATAGATAATCTCCTAGTTAGGTTGCAGGTATGGTGGCTAGTGTAGAACCCAGGCAGAC